CAATGCATGGGAAAACCCTATTCCCAGGCAGCTTCCCTAAATTGAGCTTCATTATCAATCCTTCCAATGAGCAATCATGATTTCCTTTAAGATTGACTGGTTTGACCTCCTAGCAGTCCAGGGGACTCTTAAGAGTCTTCTCCAGCACCACAGTTCAAAATTGATGGATTACTTTACTGCTATTCTTTAAATCATATTGGGTTTTGAAAAATATAGGATGACTGCTAAGTTTCATTGTCCCAAACTGAATTGCTATACTGAAGTTATTTTGCCAATTAAATGGTTTTGCACTATATACTGTACATGGTGCTAAAGAAGAATATATGGAGCAGTGTGAATCCATACCCATGGTCTACTCCAAAAGTCCCTGTTCCCTCCTAGTCCTTCTTCAGTGAGTAGCACAATCTGTTCATTTTCACTTGTGGGGTTCCAGATATACTCAAGCAAATACAAGCAGAACTTCCCATTAGATTCTGCTCCTCAGTATAGCCTGATTAAGAACAGGGAATGGAATCAGTTATGACATTTGTACTTGGAAGAAAACTTACATTTTTAGTTGATGGTAACCTGACTGCTTAGAACTTTGAAGGAGTGATTAAAGGCTTTGCTTTTGGTTTTGTTTCTGGTGAGTTTATTTTATTATTTTGCAGTTCAGAAAACAGAGGATTCCAACTAAGGTTATATATATATTTAGATTTGTTTTTATAATAAATTTGATTGACCTCATCATGTGACCTCATGTAAAAATATCTAATCCTGTTTACTGAAACGCTGGAAGCATTTCTCATATATTGAAGGTCTATTATAATCCATGTTTATTTAATTTGGGGGTGGCATCAGCCTGACAAGACCTTATGCTGGTCCCTGAAAGTTAATTCACATAGAACAGTAAGCAATAAAGTAGTTTGCTTGGCTTAGTATGATGTATGAATCTGTTCACTGCCATAATATCTTTGTTAGATAGGATTCACACATTATGGCAAACTGAAAGCAAGCTGATAAAGAGACCTTCATTCAAGTTCAGTGAAAAAGAAGTGTGTGTGTGTGTTTGTGTGTGTGTATATTCATTAATTCATTCATTCATTCACTCACTTTTGATAAATCAAAACTAATATCAAATAGACAGTAGTCAACATGCAACAGGAACATTTATTATTGCTTTCTTCCATTACAATTATCTCCTATATGGCCTCAGAAGGTTTGTTGGAATTGGGTAATCCTTCTATAGCATGAAAGGCTATAGGGAGGAGAGAGAATGATCTCTGTCCTTCTCCATTTATTGGATTTACTCTTTGAAATTATTAATTTAAATTATTGATAGATAATAAAATAATGAAAATGTGTGATTTATTCAACCTATTAATCATATACGCATCGTATTTTGGTGTTATTTTTCTCACTGTCTGTGGTTTAAGCATGAGAAAAAAAAATGAATGCAATAAAGAATGAGAAAATGTCTCTAACTGTAACATATAGATTGTAGACTATATTGAAGTTTTCATGAATCTGAACAAGGTATTGATTCTATAGTTTCTGTTTGAAATTCAACATGATCACACGTGTTCGTTTTAATACTTTGTTCACAGATAGTTTACTGATTGACTACCAGTTTACCTTCAGTCTATTACAAGAAGACGATCGCCATCACACTGCCATAAACTTCATTGCAAACCCTGAACAGGTAAGCTGATATAAATGAGTACCTATAATAAATTTTGCTATTATAGATTGAGTTTTATTTGTACGTAGCTCTTTTTTAAACAATCTCTTTGCAGAAACAGAATGGAGCCAAGTAGGACTGTTATAGATAACTTTAAGACAATCAGGAACTGAAGTCTCGGGTGATGTAACTGTTAGCTTTGTAAGCCTTATTACCGAAGCTGAGAAAAATGGCTGTACTTCTATCAGTATTGTTGTTCTTACAGCTGAGGCATAACAAACTAGGTTGTTATTCCCTTAGTCCATCCCTTCATTATTCAGTGTCCCTAATTTGGTCTGCAGAGCATATCGTTAGGATTAATTATGCTGCTTCATGCTTCTTCTGGGGAGTGCAACAATCCTCCTCTGAAAGCAGCCATATAAACATGAAGCATATAATGGTAAATGGACACAGGTATGAAAAAAAGAATTCCACCCTAACTCCATAATATTGTCAAATGTTATGTATTTAGGAAAAAATAAAAACTTTTTGTAGACTTATTGATATTGGTGGCTGAACCTTTATTTCTTAGATGTTTGTAGCTTGAAGGATTATTCTACTCTATTATTGTTGTAAATAAACTCCTTTACTTTACAAAGTGAGAAATTGCTAGGAGGAAGAGTTTAGCTGTCTGAACTACCCCACTATTCCCCTTGTCAGAGGCCAGAGCTGAGCTACACCCAGTAAAGCTAACCTCGTGCTCTAGAAGTGGCAGAAGGAACTATCATGTTGGTAGTGCTGGAGTCAGAGTCACATGGAGCAGTGTTGCTGATTTCTGTCCATTGGCAATTGCCTCTTTTTTTCTTAATCAAATCTATATAGCTGTCCATTTCCATACAAGACTCTGAACAGCTCACAGATAATTAAAAAACAATATAAAACAGCAAACCAATGCAAGTAAAAAAAAATAAAAACAATATAAAATCATATAAAATCATGGAAAGCCAGTTTGGTGTAGTGGGAAGGCATCAGGCTAGAAAGCAGGAGACCGTGAGTTCTAGTCTCACCTTAGGCACAAAGCCAGCTGGGTGACCCTGGGCCAGACACTCTCTCTCAGCCCCAGGAAGCAGGCAACAGCAAACCACTTCCAAAAACCCTTGCCAAGAAAACTGCAGGGACTAGTCCAGGCAGTTGCCGGGAGTCAAAAATTGACTTGAAGGCAACAGCAACAACAATAATAATAATCATATAACAAAATTCCTAGCCAATTTTTTAAGGATAAAATAATTAAAAGAAGGAACTGCTGATAGTGATATTAGTTCAAATATAATATTTGAAAATGATTAGACAGTGTTTCAGTATGTCATACTGGGTGTTTTCAGACTGTTTCCCTTTTTTCCCTTAAAAGAAAAAAATGTGCCATTCCATATCTGTCCAAAATATTTTTTTTTCATCTTTGTGCAATGTTGATGTTTTCTTATGTTCTCATTCTTAAATGGTTGTCTATTTATGTAATACTTTAATACTATCTCCTGCTGAGGAAGCAAAAATTAACAGCTGTTATATTTATAGGCAAATCATTCATTAAAGTTTAATGGTTTGGAGATGCAGTATTAAAAACTTTTTAAAATAAATTCAAACTGTAAGCAATACTTCTTCAAATTTATGCATAAAGCATATTTTTCTAAGCAAAGTTATATATAATGTATCTTACAAAATAATGAAGTGACTGTATAACTCTGAAAGATGATAAAAGTGTTACATATAATTCAAATTTCTCCAAATTTAATGGTTTTTCTGGCCTTTTCCCCCCTGTTGTTTTGGATGTTGAAAAATTTGGGTCTTCTACCAGTAGCTGTACCTAATAGTTCTCTGCTGTCTGTAGAGATCTTCACTCTTGATGGCTGTAGAAGGGGAAGGATGCCCTTCTACAGCCATCAAGAAGAAGTGAACTTCTTCCTGAATAAAGTCCAGTGTGTTAGGGTCAGTGTATATGTTTGACTACCTATGATCAAAGTTTAAGCTGTTTTTCAATGTAATGTTCATGTTTTCTATTTTTAAAATTTTTAGTCAAACAAAAATTTGGACATATCAATCAATGCATCAAATAACTTTAACCTGAATATCACATGGTCTATTGGCTCTACAGGTAAGAAAGGCATTAGTACTATTTTTCCCTTTTTAAATATTATTTCATGTATTGCAATCATGTATCATGTATACATGATTGCTTTTTAGTAAATGTTAATAAAATACATTCTTTTCCCATTCTCATTATGACATTATTAATGACATTACTTAAAACAGATAATTTGCAAATTAAATAAAGGTTCATTAACATGTTAACTTACTTTCTTATTCAATTAAAATTACTTGAGTAACAAAACCTTGTATGCTCTTTAAAATTTTATAGTGGCAGTATTATGAACACAGTGATTTTAATTAAGATAAATTACTTCCTTGACGACAGCAGAGACTGAGTTTTTAATTTCTTTGTTTCAGTGTTGAAGCTTGGAATTTAATTATTAACCTTAACATTGATATGAAACAAAAAAAATTCTTCTGAGTCTTCTGATAAAAGAATCTGCTTATCATCTGTTCCTTCCCCCCACACTCAAACTTTGGACCCAGTTTTTTCATTGATTTTAATAAAAAGCTTTGTTTAGAAAGTTTCCTTGTATTGGTTCTGTTGACTTTCTGAAAATATATCCAAGGAGAGTATCCTTGATTGTATTTGACTGAATTATGCAGGATGGGTAGGAAATGGAGGCTCTTTATACTTTGTGCAACAGATATATGACTTTAAGTATCTGTACATATATTTGAGGAAGACCACATGTCCATACATATTAGATGGAGCCAAGCTTCCGCGGGTATATACATTCCATATATCTGATTTATAGATCATCTGTAAATCTTTTAAATGCTACACCTCACATGCCACATCTGAAGACAGTGAAGTAGTTAAAAGTCATTACAATCACACTGTAATATTCCATGTGTTATATACATACACCTCTATTATGTTGAAGAACTTCCTTTTATTCTGACATCTATGTTGGGATTACAGGATATTCATAATACCTAATATGCTTAGCATAAGCAAGTTAAGTCAAAGCTGATAATGATATTTCAAAAAGAAGAATGGGGGACAGTATCCTGCAGTGATTTTGCCAAAAAATACCTTTTCCATAAACTCCTTGTACTGCTTTTTTTCCCCTAACAATAATAAAAGGACTAACAACAACAACAAATGCCTATCCCAGGTCCTTCGGAAGGACTCATTGGGTGGGTAAAAATGCCAAATCCAGTCTAAACATCTGGCTGACTCTGTGACCCACCATAATAATCTCCCAGTGAGGCACTGCCTTGTTGTGGGGTTTGCATGCTCCAAAGAGGATGTGAGCTACGCCAGAGGTTCAACCATACTGGACAGGTCTCATCAGAGGAGCCAAACAAAGAGTGTCTCTCCCATAAACAATATGGTGAGACGTAGTTTAAGGAAACCCATACTGGATCGGTCATCACCCGGGTCAACCGTACTAGGTTTTATCTCTTGGACATCTGGTGACAAGTGGGCTACAGGGCTCAGGACGGTTGGCTGAGCAATGAGGCCAGCAGCTGCAGAACTACTGGAAGAAAAGTTGTTTACCTGTCGCAAATACACAAAGACTGAAAAAAAAAAGAAATAATGATCTGCTATTACAGATCAAGTCTAATGAGAAGAGGATATCTGAAAAGAATGTACCAGTTCTGGAAAGAACAACCTCCAGAATCAGAAATAACAGAACAGAGGCTAACAGATCAAAGTCAATTTATAACATGTATTCACAGAAGTAGAATTGGAAGAACTGGAAAGGTCTACCCAGGGCAAAGAAATCGAAGCCTTGCCAGAAGTAGCTCAGATGGTAGAGCCTTCTCCTCAGAAAGAACAAAGCCCTCTAACTAAAAAAGAAGAGGCATTGAAACAAAGAATAACTGAGCATCTAGAACAGCACAAAAACAACAGAATAAGTTTGCCTGCATTGAAGCTTGTTAGAAAGAAACAGCTAACATGAGTATTAAACGATGCCAATACTGTAATATCAAATATAAGCACCAGGCCACTGCAAGAAAGAAACCAACTGATGTACAGAATGGCTGCAATTATAACTGAATACATTGGATGCAAAATCAACAAACTAGAAAAAAAGCCAAGCAGTGCACCACCAAAATGGAAGATCAGATTGGAAAATAAGATCAGCATGCTAAGGTCAGATGCAAGCAAGCTAGAACAGAGGTAAGAAAAGAAGCTGAAGAACAAATAACAAAGAATACCTGATCAAGAGATATCACCTAGAAACAAGGAAGATCAAGGAAGCACTGGAAATAATAAAGCAACAAATAACAGCCATAGACAAGAAGATCAGCAGATATAAACTTGAATAGCACACTACAGGCAGAATCTCCACTTTCAGTTGAATCAAAAATGTTTCTACCAGTCCATCAATAGAGAGACTGCAATGAACCAATCAACATCTGACAAAGAAGAAACGGTGAAGTTCTGGGCGCAGCTGTGGGACAACCCAAAGAAACACAACAAGAATGCAGCTTGGATAAAGGAGGTAGATAAGAATAAAAAAGAAGCTGAAATGAA